CCCGACGGGTTGCTGCGCAAGGGCCCGAGCCAGCGGGAGCTCTTTGGGTACCTGCACGGGGCCAAGAAGGAGACGCGGGCGGAGCGGAAGCACCAGACATCGGGCGCCTGCTACAAGCGGGACTACGAGAGCGACCGCGAGAACCGGTCCCCCGAGCGCTGCTCCCGCGAGCATCACCGTGGGGCCGACTTCTCCAAGAGCTCCCTGCCGGAGCGGGGCCGCTTCGACAAGGTGAGGCTGTGAGGTCTGAACTGTGTCCTGGTCTGCCAGGATGATCTGCACCCCCCTGGATGGGATCTGGGGATTTGAGGGTGTTCAGGGATATGAAGCTGGGAGCGTGGGGGTTCTCTCTGGCTCTAGAGGCTCGTGCTTGACCTTGCTCTTGTTTTTCAGTGCCGTATCAGGCCCTCGGCCTTCAAGGCAGTGGCTGGGAAGGGGCTGGTCTCCATGCAGGGCCTGTCCTCGTCCAAGGGGCAGAAGTTGTCCAAGAGCAACGGGAGCCTGCACACGCTGCTGTCGCAAAGCAGCACAGCGGCCCCGCAGCACGGCCCGCTCCGCACCCACCTGCTCCACGCCATCAGCCTGGATGAGGCCTCTGACTCCAGCCACAACTCCATCCAGAGCTTCCCATCCTATGGCTCCCGCCTCAAGCCTGCGCAGAGCCAGTTCAGCGCCTCCATGGGCCACATCAACCACATTGGGGGCTCCTTGGACAGGGTTTCCCGGAGCCCCAGGGATACTCTGGCCCCCGAGAAGATGCCCCTGTCCTGCAAAAGCATGGCCACCCTGAGCAGGCTGCAGAGCCCCGGCGAGCCCCCGCCGCCGTACGAGTTCTCCTACTCGCTGGAGGACGCGGTGAAGCAGCTGGAGGACCGGCTGCAGGAGACGGGAGGGGAGCTGCGGCAGCTCAAGAGGAGCCTCAGCGAGACTGAAGACCCCTTCACACAGGTGAGCCGTGGGCTGGGGCGGAGCTGGGTGTCCCGGGCAGGGATGTGGGGATGGAAGGAGCAGTGAAGGAGCTGCCGTGGTGGGTGATGGGCTTGGAATGCCCAAGCGTGGGAGGATCAAACACCACGGGACCTTTTGGGGTCCGTCCTGGGGCTACAGCCTCTCACCAGTGCCCACCTGTGCTGGCAGGCATTTGAGGACAAGCAGAGGCTGTGGCTGGACGAGCTGGAGGACCTGAAGCAGATGTACATGGCCCGGCTGCAGCAGGTGATGCAGCAGGCGCAGCGCGGGCAGCGGGCGCTGCAGCTGCAGCTCTACAAGGCACAGCAGGAGAAGAAGCGGCTGCAGGAGGAGCTGAGCCTGCAGCAGTGCCAGTGCGAGGAGACCAAGCTCCGGCAGTCCCAGGGCGAGCATGGCAGCCCTAAACTGGAAGAAACCAAGTGGGAGGTGAGTCCCCTTCCTTCCTTCCCCGTTGCCACCCTCCAGGCTGTGGGACCAGGATGGGGGCAGCAGTTCCCTGCTCTGGTTTCGCTCGGGGTCACAGTATGGGAGGGATGAGCCATGTGTAGTGCTTATGGTCTCCCAGGATAACCTGGGATGCTGCCACCCTTGGGGTCCTGCTCCCCCAGCCCTTCTCACTGCTCGCCCATGCCCTGCAGGTGTGCCAGAAAGCAGCAGAGATCTCCCTGCTGAAGCAGCAGCTCCGGGACACCCAGGAGGAGATGGCTCAGAAGCTGGGGGAGATCTTCAGCCTGAAGACGCAGCTGCGGGAGGCCAAGGCAGAGGTCCAGGCCAGGGACTCCCAGCTGGCACAGCTGGCAGACTCCTTCCAGAGCCCCCCGGAGCCCAGCACCTCGCTGCCTCTGGGCGATGACCCCATGCCATCGTGCCAGGACTTCCCTGGCTGCGAAACTGATGACTCCAAGTGCCGGGGCCTCCAGAGCGACTCGGCGGAGCCCCTGGAGCGGCAGGTGGAGTGGCTGTGGGCAGAGCTGCTGCGGGAGCGGCGTCAGGGCCAGCTGCAGGCTGTGAACTTTGAGCTGGAGAGGAAAACGTGGCAGGAGGAGAAGGAGAAGGTGCTGCGGTACCAGCGGGAGCTCCAGGCCAGCTACATGGAGATGTACCACCGGAGCCAGGCGCTGGAGCGGGAGCTGCGGCAGCTGCGGGCGGAGCCCAGGGATGTCAGGATCGACTCGCCCTGGATCGAGCGGGTGGAGTCCTCCAAGATTTGAGGAGCAGAATGCCAGTGGGACTGAGAAGGGGGAAGATCTCTTGCTGCTGCAAAGGGACGATCTCAGGGTGTGCACAAGGACTGGCCCCGCTCGGTGCTGCCCTGGGCTGAAGGACCGATTGCCACAGGGGAGCTTTTCCTTCTTGCAGCACTTCAGGCCCTTCTGGCAAGGGTCTCTGCAGGGCAGGGGGGTCATCTGTGCCAGGGTGGGGGTCTTGCATGTGCCCCGTGCTCTGACTTCAGGAGCAATTGCCCTGTGATTCCTTCTGCCATGGGGCAGAAACCAAGCACCCTGTGAGACATTCCCTGTCCCTCCTGCTCTGCTGCCCCTGTTCCTACAACCCAGTAACTTAATGTCTTGTGAGGAGAAGCTTAAGCCCTGTCCCCTACCCCACTGCCTTGCTGTGGGGGTTGCAGCTACTGGTTGCAGTGGCTGCCTCGTCAGCAGGGTCCTGGAGCTGGTGCTGCCACTGGGGAGGCCGAGGAGGAAACCCTGAGGAGTTCTGGTGCTGCTGGGAGGGGGCAGCTGCCCCAGCACCTCTGTTGGGGCTTCTCATGTCCCTGGCGTGGAGCTGCTCTGCAAGGGAGGTGGTTGGTGCAGCTTTCTTCAGGCTGAGATGGGGGAGTGCCTTGTGCAAGGAAGGATGGGAACTGGTGCTCTGCCACACTGGGAGGAACTGGGGTGGGAGAAGGGACTGGGGCATGTGCCTGAGCTGGGGAAGAGGCCGAGATCCCCCCTCCCAGGGGAGCAGGGGGAGCTCAGAGGTGCTGGAAGGAAGGAAGGAGCTCTGCTCTATGTGTGTAACAGAGCCAGGTGAAGGCCGGGCCCGGCTCCACGCCCTGCTCCTGCAATAAACCCGCATTTCTCTCCCCCGGCCTCTGCTCTGCTTCTCTCGGGGTCGGGGGGCTCTCGGGGTGAGGGGGATGGTGTGGGGCCGGCCTGAGCCTGCCCAGCACCTGCCCTGGAGCTGCTGCGTCGGGCTGGGCAGTGCAAGCAGGCGGGACATCGCCCTGAGTCACGGCGGGGCCGGGCGGGCTCATCCCCACCTCCTCTGTGGTTTAACCCAGCCGTGGAATCCCCCCAGCCCTCGTCCCGAGCACCAGGACCACGCTGTACAAACCCACAGCCACCTTTATTCACCCCACAGTGCTCAGCATCCCCCCTTCAGTCCTCTCGGCAGAGTCCCCCAAAACAGCCCCCGGGCAGAGGGACAGGGACCCGCAGGGCACAGCCCGGGCCTGGCTCTTCACAGCGGCAGGGGAAGGGCCAACACCTCCTCCAGGCACTCGTCGTAGGCCTCCTGGTACTCCTCGTGGGGCTTGATCATGATGACACAGGTCGGGCGCTTGGAGCCGGCTGCAGCTCCCAGGTCCTGCGGGAGCAGAGGGAGCCCATGGGGTGCCAGGTCCCTGAGGTGAGAGCTCGGGACCAGCTCACTGCGGGCCCTGGTTTAGTGCAGGGAAGCTCTGCCTGTCCAGCCCATCACCCCAAGCCCTCTGCACTCCTCCTGGGTTCATGAACCTTTTTCCCAGCTTGTCTCCCACAAGCTGCAAACTGGGGTGGCAGAAGGGACTGGCACCTGGCTCATGTGCCATAATTCTTCCCCAGACTGGGTCTGCAGAGCTGTCTGCACCAGGGCTGAAGCTCCAAAGCCACCGACTGCCCCTCCAACTCCTGTCTACAAAAGAGCTGACCCCACCTTAGAGAAGCCTGGAAAAGATGTGCTGGCTCTGTCCCGGAGCTGCTGCAGGAAACAGTTCTGTGATCCCACTCCTACACTTCCCCCCTGTCCCTTCTGTGCCTTAGTCAGGGACAAGCACCGAGTTCTTTACTCGGGCACCGGATCTGCATCTCCCCGGGAAGGCTCCGGTCACAGCCTGGGCTCCTCACCGGCTTCCTCATCAGCAGGGCTGGTTCCTCCCCAGCCCCAGCACTCACCGTTTTGGAAGGGACGTATGCGTACGGGAGGCTCCTGTCCTCGCACATGATGGGGATGTGGCAGTAGACATCGATGGGCATCGTGTCTCCGGCCAGCACCGTGATCCTGCAGGGACAGCCGTGTCAGCGGCCGGGCCAAGGGGCCGTGCCGGGCCAAGGGGCCAGGGCACCACTTACCCCTTCTCGCCCTTGTTGATGAACTTCTGCACCTCTTTCACCCCGCGCCGGACCTGCTTCTGCTTGGTCGCTGCAAGAGAACCACGGCGTGAGGGGCTGAGCGAGAACCGCAGCGTGGGCCCCGCGCTGCAGCCATGTCCCGGCCCCTTCCCACCCGCGCCGCATGCCGCCGCCGCCAGACCTTTCCTGATGCACTTGAGGAGCTTTCGCGTGAGCTTGCGGGACGCGAGCGGCTGCGCGATGGGGTTCAGGAAGTCGAGCTGCTCCCGGTACGAGAGCTCCGG